CAAGGCCATCATTTGCTGCAAATGCCCTTAGTCACTGGAGCTCCAGTGACAAAGATGCTAATTACATTTTTTAATATTGCCCCTTCATATGTTTGGAATTAAAAAGCAATAAATACTGTATAGCACAGGGAACTCTACTCAATACTCTGTAATGGCCTATATGGGAAAAGAATCTAAAAAAGAGTGGATATATATATATATGCATATGTATAACTGATTCAGGTATGCTTTGCTGTATACCTGAAACTAACACAACATTGTAAATCAACTATACTCCAATAAAATGAAAAAAAAAAGCAATAACATGTACATGCTTGTCAAAATATTCAAATATTACCCAAACGTATAAAGCAAAAAGTGCAAGTTTTCTTTCATTTTACAGTTATGGTTTTTCTAAAGTAATGTATGATCAATATGGAAAATACGCAGAAGCATTTTGTAAAAACAGATTCTCAACTTTTTTTCCTATATATTTACACTTAAATAAAAGTAGTATCATAAAATGGCCCTGAACATGGATGTGTAGTACTTTTATCGCCGTTTTTCAGATAAAGGCATTTGGGCTTAACTTACCCAAGGCACACAGCCTACAAGTGACCTGGCTGGGATTTGAACCCAGATTTGTGTGATTTCAAAGCCCATGTCCCTGACAACCAGCCAAACTGTTGCCCTTTGCATGCCAACAAACAGATGTACCCCATTTGTAAAGGCTGCGGTGAATTGTCTGATATAAAAATTGCCACAAATTAAAACCACAGTGAGATGCCACTTCACACCTGTCAGAATGGCTGTCATCAAAAAGACAGCAAATAACAAGTGTTGGCAGGGATGTGGAGAAAAGGGACCCTCGTGTGCTGTTGGTGGCAATATAAATTGGTACAGCCGTTACGGAAAACACTATAGAAGTTCCTCAAAATATTATAAATAGAGCTACGATATGATCCAGCAATCGCACTTCTAGATATTTATCCAAAGGAACTGAAATCAAAATCTCAAAGAGAGATCTGCACTCCCATGTTCACTGCAGCCTTATTCACAATAGCCAAGATATGGAAACAACCTGAATGTCCATTGAAAGGTGAATGGATAAAGGAAATGTGATATACATACATACATAATTATATTATGTAAAAATATATACATTTACGTATTATATAAGTTGTTAATATATTACATATAATATATTTATTATACAGGATATTTGAAAATGGAAAATCATTCAGCCTTAAAAAGAAGGAAATCCTACCGTTTACAACAACATGAATGGTCCTGGAAGCCAGACACAGAAAGACAAATACCATGTGATCTTATTTATATGTGGGATATAGAATAGTCAAACTCATAGAAGCAGAGAGTAGAATGGCATTTACCAGGGGCTGGGGGAGGAGGAAGAGGAGAAATGTTGGTCAAAAGGTACAAAGTTTCAGTTATACAGGATAAGTTCTGGAGATCTAATGTACGGCATGGTGCCTGGAGCTAACAGTAGGTACTGTATATATAAAACTGGCTACAGGGTAGATCTTATATTAAGTGTTCTTATCACACACACAATAATAATGATAAAGGGGTGTGAGGGAACTTTGGGAGGTGATGGAAATGTTAACGGTCTTGATGATAGTGATGGTTTCATCGTTCTATACTTATCCCCAAACTCAGAGAGTTGTATACATTCCATACGTATGGTGTTTCAAACGTCAGTCAAAACTCAATAAAGTAGTTTTAAAAGGTAAAATAAAAATCTCACTTGTTGATAGTTTTTAGATTAACTGAAAGGAATGTGTGAAGTCTTACTGTGTTCTGATGCCGAGTGTTCAAGACAAGACGGCATCTTAGCCACCGCCAAGAAAGGGGCCTCAGTTATCCCACAGAGCCCTGGAGGCTACATAGTGGTGACAACTTGCATTGTGAAATTCGTGTTGGAGAGTGTGGTTTGTGACCACCTGATCCTGACATTCGGTTAGACACACACACACACACTTTAGAAATCACGAGTTCCTATCAATACCTCAAATTCCAGTTCACCCCACATAGTTTGTCCTTGCCTTCCCTCATTCTGTATTTATACCTCAAACTGGACAATTTCCAGAGTGATAATTGCCAAAATTATCAATTTTCTATTGATAATTACCCTGGTGCAGGAGACAAAACTGAGATGGGCCTAGAGAAATTGGGGTATGTGGTCACCTCAGTTCACTGTTCAAGCCCTGCTCTGGCCATTCACATTCCACATAACTTTGTTAAAGTCCCTCAGATATTCCTCAGGTTCTGTCTCCTTTTCTTTATTTTTAAAAAATAAATTTATTTATTTATTTTTGGCTGCGTTGGGTCTCTGTTGCTGCACATGGGCTTTCTCTAGTTGCGGCGAGTGGGGGGCTACTCTTCGTTGCAGTGCGCGGGCTTCTCATTGCGGTGGCTTCTCTTGTTGCGGAGCACGGGCTCTAGGCGCGCGGGCTTCAGTAGTTGTGAATTGCAGGCTCTAGAGCGCACGGGCTTAGTTGCTCCGCGGCATGTGGGATCTTCCTGGACCAGGGCTCGAACCTGTGTTCCCTGCATTGACAGGTGGATTCTTAACCACTGTGCCACCAGGGAAGTCTCTCCTTCTCTTTAAAATGGGAGTAATATCCTGCCCATTGTAATTCATTTGTGGAGGCACAGGCAAGAAACACGTACCTGGCTCTTTTAAAACTTACCGTTTGCAAAAGTATGCACAAATATTGGGAACTGTCATCCTCTCGCTCCTGGACCACTGTTGTAGCCACCCTAGTGGTCTCCCTGCTCTTGTGCCTCCTACCATCCATTCTCCTGGAGGTTTTTAATAACACCCTCCAGCGGCTTCTCATTGTTCTTGGAATGTCACCGAATCCCTTTCCATCATCTGCATGACTCTGCACCACGGCCTCTGATCCCCCTCTGGGGCCACACCCACCATGTGCCCTCTCTCTTCCCTGTGCACCAGCCCCACTGGCCGCCTCTTCCTTCCATGCCAAGGTCTTTTTCACATCAGGATCTTTGCATGACTGCCTCCTTCCCTTCTCTTGGGTCTTATCTTAGCCGTCACTTGCTCAGAAAGGCCCTTCCTGACCCCCTAACAAGTGGTGCATTGGAGTTTGTTTATACTGGTTCAGGAGCGGCAATTGTTCAGTTTTCAAGGATGTTGCAAGCTGTGCGTCAAATATAATCATCATTCAAAATAAAGTTATGTAAACTTATGATTAAGTAAGTTGCATTAAAAACAAAGATAATAGGGACTTCCCTGGTGGCGCAGTGGTTAAGAATCTGCCTGCCAATGCGGGGGACACAGGTTTGATCCCTGGTCCACGAAGATTCCACATGTCACGGAGCAGCTGAACCCATGCGCCACAACTACTGAGCCTGCACTCTAGAGCCCGCTAGCCACAACTACTGAGCCCGTGTGCCACAACTACTGAAGCTCGCGCACCGAGATCCCGTGTTCCGCAACAAGAGAAGACACTGCAATGAGAAGAAGTGCACCGCAATGAAGAGTAGCCCCCGCTCACCGCAACTAGAGAAAGCCCGCACGCAGCAGCGAAGACCCAACGTAGCCAAAACAAACAAACGAAAAACAAAGATAATACTCAAGACTTATTGCTTCCTAATTCTTTTACTATATTTTAATATTGTCTGTGCTCTTGAAGTTACATGCATCTGCTCTCTCTGTATGGTACAAAACCCACATGATGGTTTTCTAATGCTGCACGTCTCTTCCGAAGTCCGTGTTCCATGATATCATGTTGGTAGCTTGAAATCAGCCATGGTAGGAGTATTTACACAAAGAAATGGGCAAATGCCCTAAATCAGGGCATCCCGCCTCCCCAAGAGAGCTGGTTGTTAAACATATTCCAACACACACTGCCCTCACTCCATTCACTTTCATTGATACCAACTGCTTTATTTCCAGCATAACTCTTATCACAATATCTTTTTTATTTATTTGGTTGTATGAGATCCATGAGAGCAGGGCCCTTCTCTATCTTCTGCTCCCTGCACCTAGCATAGTAACTGGGATGGTCAGACGCTCAACAAATTATTTGTTTGATGAAGGAACAAAGAATTACATGTAATAAAAGCTAAAAGCATTCAGGAGACCTTGGTCACCGGTGCCTGGTGGAGTCTTCAGGCTTCCTGTAGGAGGGGACATTTCAACCAAAAAGTTAGTCTTAATTAAGAGGAAGGGAACTGTTCACAGTCCAAAACCACCTCCAAGATTTCAGGGAAACTTGAGTCCGACTGGGAAACTCAGACTGTTTGAAAAGGTAGCTTGGTTTTCAAGGGAGATTTGATTTTTTTTACCACCTCTCTCCAGAGGTATTCGATGTGGTAAGCTATAGGATTTTCATCTTCCATTAGAGCACAAATGCCAATAATTATAAATAGAAATGCTTTTCAAAATATGGCCCTTTTATGCGCCTACTGTGATGTCATTTTCTATAGTACATAAAAGCACTTTGTCCATTTCATTTGAAATGTTAAGGAACGCTCCAGGGGTTGCTAAATAAGTCATTTAACTTGCTTCTTGCAGGGTTTGTAGCCACGAATGTGGCACTTAATAGATGTTTTGATCAGCGGTTATACAAGAAAACATGTTAATAGCTGTTTGTGATACATCAGCAGAGTGGAGACATTTTTGCCTTAAAACTATGAAGTTATTCTCAGTTGTTTACCCCATGCCCTGCTGTGTGGGAAAACCACAGGCTTTGGTTGCAGATAGATCCAGATTCAAAGCCTATCTCCAATTTACTGTGTGGCCCTGGGAAATGTACCTAAGCTCTCAGAGCCTCAGTTTTCTCACCTACTGAGGGTGGGAAGTAACAACTATTGTGCAGAATTGTGGGGATTTGCTGAGATACGTTACCAAGTCCAAGTTCGTACTGCTCGTGGCACGACAGGTCAATAAGTCAAGAGACAAGTTGTTGGGGTGAGGAATAGCGACTTTATTTGGAAAGTCAGCAGACCGAGAAGAGGGTGGACTCACGTCCCAAAGAACCATCTCGCCTGAGTTAGAATTCTGGCTTCTTTTATACTAAAAGGGGAGGGAATAAAGTCAAGCATTTCCTGGTTCCAGTCAGCTTCTGGAGGGGATGTGTTAATTTCTTCCTTCCTGCAGTCATTCACAGGTGGGCCTGATCAGGATGTTTCCTGTGAGCTAAACGAAGGTATTATTATTATTATTTTTTGGCCAGGCAGCATGTGGGATCTTAGTTCCCTGACCAGGGATCGAACCCGCACCCCCTGCATTGGAAGTGTGGAGTCTTAACCGCTGGACCACCAGGGAAGTCCCTAAACAAAGGTATTTTAGCTTAATGCTCATTACCTGGGAGGCAGAGTTCCCATAGAAGGGCCACTATGTATAATTTAAGCTTATAGGCCACATCCCCTTAATGATTAACTTGTAACAGAATACAAAGTTTCTCCCCTATTACAGAGATTACACTTAAAGCTTCCAATCCAGTGCCCAAAGATTCCCTTTTGCATTTCCCTCTTCTCTTTAAGGGCATCAGCTCTTGCTGTGTTACTGGTCTTCTGCTGTGCCATTGTCTGGTGACAGGAAATGTGTGTTATAAAAGCGTCTTGTTCCTGTGCTCCCCAAGGGCCCTGAAAAAGATGGTCAGGCAGAGGAGTTCTGAGTTTTCTCCTGCTGTATAAGTTTGCCTTGGTCCCGCTGGTCCTTTATTCATTTCAACAATTTCTATTGAGTGCCTGTTCTGGGGACCTGGGCCAGGCTCTGTACCGGGGTCTGGGCTACAGTGGGAACAGGGCACCCAGGTTGGTCCTCAGGCGTGTGTCAGCTAGGGTTCCTGGTCGCTGGGCTGCATATCTTCTGTTTCCCCTTCATATCCATCTTCACCTCTCTCCACCTGTCCTGGAAGGCTGACCGCATCACAGACTCCCTTGCCGTTTGGCATCTGGTTGGACTCAGCCACTGGGCCACTGGTGAGAGCTTGGAGGGAGGGAGATGAGTGAGGTTGGGGGTATGAATTCTTCTGGCTGCCTCCCCCGCCTGGATAGAAAGCCACAGCTCTTTCTAAATCGTCTTCCGTAACTTCTCTCCTCTACTTTTTTTTTTTTAATATCTTTATTGGAGTATAATTGCTTTACAATGGTGTGTTAGTTTCTGCTTTATAACAAAGTGAATCAGCTGTACTTCTCTCCTCTACTTTTAATCGTTTGATCTTCATCGCCTTTTTGGGTTTAGGGCCTTGAGTTACTGCACCATCCTTTGTGCTTTCCTTACATCTACATTTTTGAATAAAACCTTTTCGAGTAAATCCTATTTGAGTCATCTTAACTTGAAAGGTCCATCTGTTTTCTGCTAGGGGCCTGATTCAGTTGCAAATAATAAACATCCACGTTAGCTCTGATGTGCACTATGAAGGGAGAATGTCAAACACTCAAAGCATTCATTGGGCTTCTGCTCTGTATGAAATCCATGATGGTGTTTCTTGAGGGATGAATTACAGCTAAAGATTTCCCCACGTTGATTACACCCAAAAGGATTTTTTCCAGTATGAAATCTCTGACGTGCCATGAGGTGTGTTTTTTTTTTTTTTTTTGAAAAAGGTTTCCTGTGGTGATTACATTCATAAGGCTTCTCCCCTGTATGGATTCCATGACACTGATGACATGGGACTTCTGGCTCTAGGATTCCCACTTTGATGGTGCTCACAGGGTTTCTCACTCTGGTACAGATTCCTGTTTGGGCTAAGAGATGAGCTATCATTGATTTTTTTCCTCTCTCAGATTCATTACTTTCAGAGCAGTTGTCTCCACCAGGAATTCCAAAGTGTATGATGAAGTTTGACTTTTGGCCACAGCTCTCCCACAGTGGTAACATTCAGGGTTTTACTCTAACCTGGATGCTCTGGGGCAGAGCCATCTTCCATCTTTGTTACAATCAGATGACTTCATCCATGTACAATTTCCCCCGTGATCAGCCAGGTCTGGGTTATGGTTAAAATTCATTCTAAGTGCGTCACATTGATGGGACTTTTATTTCTTGGAGAAGTAAGTGTGGAGGTTAAACCAACATGTTTTCCAGCCTTGTCACCTTGGTCAGGGTTTTCCTGTAAGAGAACATCACTCGTGTGAAAAAGCACACCTGTTTTCCTATTGCCTGTCCATCAGGTCATCATCTTGCCATATTTTTTTTTTCTGAAAAAGAATATAATACGCTGTTCTTTGTGAGTCTTTCCACTTTATGAAGGAACAGACATATCTTCACAAATGTTTTGCTGTGGGGTTGCCTCCTTAGTTGCAGCCTACTATTTCTATTTCAGAAATCTCAAATACAGATCTTCTGTCGCTCAGGTTCTGGGAGGGAACCTGCGGGTTAGCACCTTCCTGGCATTTCTCCCTCCTTGGTCCACAGCTTTCCTCCTTGTTCCAACTTACAGATCACATCTGGTTTGCTGTCTTTTATTTATTTATTTATTTGGCCACACCTCTTGGCTTGTGGGATCTTAGTTCCCTGATCAGGGATCGAACCCACGCCCTTGGCAGTGAAAGTGCGGAGTCTTAACCACTGTACCACCAGGGAAGTCCCTGATTTGTTTCCTGTCTTGATGCCCTGTGGAGACTAGGATCCGTAAGTCCCCAGCATCGTGTCCCTGTGGTCGGTCATCTGAGCTGTTCCCACTGCCCCAGGTAAAATCCTTAGCCCCTTTTGTGGATGTCACTGGTGCCTCCTACTTGGTCCTTTCGAAGTCTTCTTCCCTGGTGGCGCAGTGGTTAAGAATCCGCCTGCCAATTCAGGGGACACAGGTTCGAGCCCTGGTTCGGGAAGATCCCACATGCCATGGAGCAACGAAGCCCGTACACCACAACTACTGAGCCTGTGCTCTACAGCCCTCGAGCCACAACTACTGAAGCCTGCGCGCCACAACTACTGAAGCCTGTGCACCTAGAGCCCATGCTCCGCAACAAGAGAAGCCACCGCAAGAGAAGCCCCTGCGCTGCAATGAAGAGTAGCCTCCGCTTGCCGCAACTAGAAAAAGCCTGCGCGCAGCAACAAGGACCCAACGCAGCTGAAAATAAATAAATAAATTTATTAAAAAAAAAAAGTCTTGGGAGAAAGAGAAGGCGGATTATTCTGCAACTTATTTTTTTACACTTACCTTGCAGATCTTTCTGTGTTAGCTCACATTTCTTATTGCTGGATATGGGGTATTTCACAGCATTGCTGTGTCGTAATTTATTCAGGCACTCCCTTGTGGCTCGTATTGAGGTATGTCCAAATTTTCACTGCTACAAATAGGCATTGTTGGAATGAATTTTTTCGTATGTGTCTCTTTGCACACATGGGTGTTTCTCTAGGGTGGGTACAAGGGTAGCTACACTGAAATTTTAATAGAGCCAAACAATGCTTCATCAGTTCACATTCTCATGAACAGAGGGTCCCAGTGACCCTACGCTTGGCAACGTTTGATGCTGTCCATCTTTTCAATTTTGGCCAATCTGGTGGGTAGAAGATGGTGTTATGTTGTGCTTAGCTTAGGAGTTAAAAAATTTTTTTTAGAAATCTGGTACAAACTTTTCTTCACATGAAATCTAATTTTCAGGAAAGTCAGAGTAGCAATGATTATGAGCCTGGATTTAGAGGTAGGACACCGGTTCTTATCCTGCGTCCTCCATTCACTCACTGGTGAAATAATCTCTCTGGCCCTCAGTTTTCTTACCTGTCAAATGGCAACACTGATAGTAATTTGCATTACTGAATTGCTGTGAGGATTACATTCCTGAGTACACAGAAAGCTTTTAGAATGGTGCCTGCCATGTAACGAGTGCTAGGTAGGTATTAGATATTTTTTCAGCCCAGCAGGTAAAACAGAATTTGTGGAGGGATGGAGGCCCTGATAACCTCACCTTGGTGGTTCCTGGAACATCTCAGAACTCAGATGAAAAGCCCGTGATGAATTTCAACTTTTTTCCTGAGACCGCATGAAGTTGAGACTACATGAAGGTCATTCACCTGCCTAAGGTCACGTGGCCTGATACTGCCCGATTCAGGATGAGAGCCCAGTCTCCTGTTCCTAGTTCTGCATCCTGTCTCCCCTCATTCCTGTCCCCCTCAACTCAGCCATTGTTGTATGAGCATAAATCCCAGGAGAGGAATCCTCATGTCTAAGAAATGAAGAATTTCAGTAAGGGTTTTCAGAGAAAAGCATAAAACTGGGGATTTGCTAACAAAAGCCCAGGGACCCTCACAAATGCCTCCATACAAGACTACAAGCAGATCCTGAGTTCTTTAAGACCAGGGGTAATCACCATGTGGAACCCCAGTGCCCCAACACTATACCCTACCCCAAAGCTGCCCAGACCTCCAGGATCCCATGGACCCCTTAGCTCTACTCAGCTGCAAATACCCAGGGAACAGACCTTCCAAAGCTTGGCCTCCTAAACCCACTGTTTCTATCTCCTCCCAGTTTCATTCAGCCCCACGCCTGGGGTCCTTTCACTCCGCTATGTAGGTTGCCAGATAAAATAGAGAAAATCCAGTTCAATTTTTTAAGAAATTTTATTTATTTTTGGCTGCATTGGGTCTTCGTTGCTGGGCGCGGGCTTTCTCTAGTTGCGGCGAGTGGGGGCTACTCTTCGTCGTGGTGTGCGGGCTTCTCATTGCAGTGGTTTCTCTTGTTGGGGAGCACGGGCTCTAGGTGCGTGGGCTTCAGTAGTTGTGGCTCGCGGGCTCAGTAGCTGTGGCTCACAGGCTCTAGAGCACAGGCTCAGTAGTTGTGGTGCATGGGCTTAGTTGCTCCGCGGCATGTGGGATCTTCCCGGACCAGGCATCGAACCTGTGTTCCCTGCACTGGCAGGCGGTTTCTTAACCACTGCATCACCAGGGAAGTCCCTCCAGTTCAATTTTAACTTTAGATGAACAACTTATAACTTTTCAATGTAAGTCTATCCCAAATATTGAAAGAGATATATTTATAATAAAAATTATTCATCATTTGTCTTGCAACCCTACATAGGGAATAAGTGAAATGTATTATTTGCCAAATCTGGCAACCCTACCACCACAGCTCTCTTATTTCCAGGGACCCTTTCTCTCTCTTCCCTGCTCCTGGGTCTTTGTGGGGTCCTGAACCCATACATATGGCAGGTCTTTATAACTAAAATCCCAGGGAGAAGCAGTTGTGTTATCAACCTTTTTTCTTCCAGAAAAGTCTAGAGCTTCTTATGCAATTAGTCCTCCTTCCCCCAAGCTCTGCACTGCAGAGGTCGGGGCATCTTGCTAGATCCAAAGAAACCTACATTTCTTTGTTTTCTTCTGAGCCAGTGACACCTCCTTGCCTCCGTTGGTATAACTCAGGGGAACTTTAAAGAGCCCAGAGAGAAACCACGTATGTATGGTCACCTTATCTTTGATAAAGGAGGCAGGAATATACAGTGGAGAAAAGACAGCTTCTTCAATAAGTGGTGCTGGGGAAACTGGACAGCTACATGTAAAAGAATGAACACTTCCTAACACCATACACAAAAATAAACTCAAAATGGATTAAAGACCTAAATGTAAGGCCAGACACTATCAAACTCTTAGAGGAAAACATAGGCAGAACACTCTATGACATAAATCACAGCAAGATCCTTTTTGACCCACCTCCTAGAGAAATGGAAATAAAAACAGAAATCAACAAATGGGACCTAATTAAACTTCAAAGCTTTTGCACAGCAAAGGAAACCATAAACAAGACCAAAAGACAACCCTCAGAATGGGAGAAAATATTTGCAAATGAAGCAACTGACATAAGATTAATCTACAGAATTTACAAGCAGCTCATGCAGCTCAATAACAAACAAACAAACAACCCAATCCAACAATGGGCAGAAGACCTAAATAGACGTTTCTCCAAAGAAGATATACAGATTGCCAACAAATACATGAAAGAATGCTCAATATCATTAATCATTAGAGAAATGCAAATCAAAACTACAATGAGATATCATCTCATACCGTCACAATGGCCATGATCAAAAAATCTAGAAACAGGGGCTTCCCTGGTGGCGCAGTGGTTGAGAGTCCGCCTGCCAATGCAGGGGACACGGGTTCGTGCCCCGGCCCGGGAGGATCCCGCATGCCGCGGAGCGGCTGGGCCTGTGAGCCATGGCCGCTGGGCCTGTGCGTCCGGAGCCTGTGCTCCGCAACAGGGAGAGGCTGCAGCAGTGAGAGGCCCGCATACTGCAAAAAACAACAACAACAACAACAAAAAAATCTAGAAACAGTAAATGCTGGAGAGGGTGTGGAGAAAAGGGAACACTCTTGCACTGTTGGTGGGAATGCAAATTGATACAGCCACTATGGAGAACAGTATGGAGGTTCCTTAAAAAACTACAAATAGAACCACCATACGACCCAGCAATCCCACTACTGGGCATATACCCTGAGAAAACCATAATTCAGAAAGAGTCATGTACCACAATGTTCATTGCAGCTCTATTTACAATAGCCAGGACATGAAAGCAACCTAAGTGTCCATCGACAGATGAATGGATAAAGAAGATGTGGCACATATATACAATGGAATATTACTCAGCCATAAAAAGAAACGAAAATGAGTTATTTGTAGTGAGGTGGATGGACCTAGAGCCTGTCATACAGAGTGAAGTAAGTCAGAAAGAGAAAAAAAAATACCGTATGCTAACACATATATATGGAATCTAAGAAAAAAAAAAGTCATGAAGAACGTAGGGGTAAGACGGGAATAAAGACGCAGACCTACTACAGCATGGACTTGCGGATATAGGGAGGGGGAAGGGTAAGCTGTGACAAAGTGAGAGAGTGGCATGGACATATATACACTACCACGTAAAATAGATAGTGGGAAGCAGCCGCATAGCACAGGGAGATCAGCTCGGTGCTTTGTGACCACCTAGAGGGGTGGGATAGGGAGGGTGGGAGAGAGGGAGACGCAAGAGAGAAGAGATATGGGAACATATGTGTATGTATAACTGATTCACTTTGTTATAAAGCAGAAACTAACACACCATTGTAAAGCAATTATACTCCAATAAAGATGTTAAAAAATAAAAAAAGAACAAAGAGTATTTGTAACTTTCTATATAGAGAACCATTGACAGCTTCTCTTGCTGAAAAGAAATATTCACATATGCTTTATCTGTGCCTGGGGAAAGTACCTGTTTGTACTAATAATTACAATTTCTAAAGCACCTACATATGCCAGGCTGTGAAGTCAGGGACCACAGCACACAGTAATGATCACATCAAGAAAGAGAATTAATATTCACTGACAGCTTACTGTGTGCCAGGTACCATTCCAAGTGCTTTAAATGTACTAATTATTTAATTTCATGCTTATTTCATTCCCTTCACACCCTTGGAAGTCGAAGCTATTTATTATCCCCCTTTTACAGATAAGAAAAGGGAAGCACAGAGTAGGTAGGCAACCATACCAAAGACAGGCAACTAGTGAATGGCCAAGCTCGCAATGACACAAGTTCTAAGGATCAACTGCTGATTGAAAACTGGTTTAGGAAGTACATACACGTCATCCTTTGTAAAGAGCTTGTGGTACAGAATTTGATTATGGCGGATTTAGATCTTGAGTCTACTGCCCACTGACTGGGCATCGTCCAAACATCACCCAGGATGGATGCAGTAAGCGTCATTGCTTGTTGCAAACTGACGCTGTGCTATCACTGCACTAAACATGTTTATACAGATCTGAAACGATGACATCCTTTCCTCCTTTAATTTTATTTAATCTTCAAAACAGCGTAGAAATCATCCTCCTTTCATCAATGCTGACAGCGAGGCTCAGAGAGGTAAGTAACTTAGCCAGAGCCACGCAGCTGGAAAGTGGCAAAGCCAAGGTGAGCACCCAGGTCTGAGCCGGGAGCCTGAGATGTTTCCACCACATCACAATAACGCGATGTGTTAAGATGGGGCTGGGAAAAAAATATCTCAATCATCTCGTAATAAAAAATAAGCTGTTAAGGATTTGAAAGTTTAAACCATTTTAAAAGGAAGAGCTAGCATTTGTTTAAAAAGAAAATTACCGATCCTCAAAGTCTAAAACGTTTGCCTTATATCCAAGAACAATTTTAATAAGATGGACACACCTCTTTAATGGATAAATCGAAACTTCGGAAAAGCAAAAGACCAAAGTCTGTCTGACTGTACATTTCTGTGACTGGATAATGATTAGATGTTCAGTACGCCCCAAAAATTAATTAATTAAATTAAATGGGACGAGACGTGATTGTTGCTGCCTGGGGAAACGATTCAGGTAATTATACGTTCTCCACCCAAACAAAAGGTCAGGCTGTCCTACCCAGTGAAACTGTCACACAAGCCATTAGCCATTAAGCCAGAGAAGTTCTGCCTTCAGTGTTTTGATCCATTTCAAAAGCTGCTCTGAGTGCCCAGTGCCTTCCTCTGCCACGTCCTATACATGCTGTGCAGGGAACAGACCCTAGGAGGATACAAACCAATGGAGCAGACGAGTCCTTTATGAGCAACGATGCTATGAGACACGTGGTCCCTTTGTCATTTGGAACCTGCAGCTTCTTCCTCCTGTCAGGTGCCCAAGGAGTCGCCCGAAGCAAAACTTTCCAACTGAAAGAGTTCTCGGAGATGGCTATAAGTGGGACTGGTTCTCCCTCCCTGACACCAATGAAAGTGTAGGTACTGGAGTATTTTCCAGGGGTGGTCTGGATGCCTGCTCATCCAGGTAGCTGGGTCATTGAGCAGTGCATCTGGGACAACATGGGACAGCATGTGTAGCATCTCATTTACTTGTCTATTCTTTTGCAGGTTTCCCTTTTGAAAGAACTTTATTTAGATATAACTTACATACCATAAAATTCACCCATGTTAAGTGCACAGTCACTGATTTTTAGTAATTTTGCTGAGTTGTGCAGTGAGCTGTTTTTACCCCTAACACTTCTGACACCAAATAAGTGGGTTTTCTCCCCACACCGACCAGTTCTCCCACTCTCCGGACACCAACAGGCTGTCCTACAGTTCAATTCTGTTGTGACGCTAATTCCCTGGAGTTCGTGCAGACCTCACAGATGCCAGGGCTCAGTCCCACGAGACTGTCTTCGTGTCAGACGTCCAGTCACAAGTCCCAGGTTGTTACCTGTACTCCTTAATGACGAGCTATAAATTGGGGCTTCCTGCAATATCCCCCTCAGGTGTGATAATTCACTGGAGGGACTCAGAGCTCAGCAAAATACTCTTACTTGTTTATTGTAAAGGGTACAACTCAGGAGCAGCCGCATGGAAGAGGTGCTTGGGGCCAGGTATGTGGGAGGGATGCTGAGCTTCCATGCCTTCTCTGGGAGTATCACCCTCCCAGCACCTCGGTCTGTTCCAGCCGGAAAGCTCCCTGGGCCCTGTCGTTCAGGGGTGTTTATGGAGGTTCCATTGCGTAGTCGTGATTGAGTAAATCACTTGCCATAGGGGATGTAACTCACTCTTTAGTGCCTTTCTTCTCCCTGTAGGTCGGGGGGTTGGCGCTGAAAGTTCCAACCTTCTACTCATGTCTTGGTCTCTTTGACCACCAGCCCTGAAGCCGTCTAGGGGCCCCCAGCGTGAGTCATCCATTAACATACAAAGACCACACTTATCAACGCAGAGACTCCAAGGGTTTTAGGAGTCGTGTGCCAAGAACCAGGGACAAAGGCCAAACATGGATTTCTTATTATAGCATATCCAGTGACACCACAGTCCAGTTTTAGGGTATTTCTGTCACCCCAGTCAGATCTCTTGTGCCTGTTTACAGTCAGTCCTCATTCCTAGCCCCAGCTCCAGGCAGCCACTAATCTACTTTCTGTCTCTATGAATTTGCCTTTTCTAGATATTTTGTATTGATGGAATAATACAAAATCTAGTCTTTTGTGTCTGGCATCTTTCACTTAGCATCATATTTTTGAGGTCATCCATGTTATAAACGTAGTTCATCCCTTTTTATGGCTAATATTTCATTGTATGGATGTGCTCCATTTTGTTTAACCCTTTGTCAGTCGATGGACACTTGGGCTTTTCCATTTTTGGCTATACCGAGTAATGCTGCTAGAACATTTCCACGAATAACTTATTTATTTTTTTCAGATTCTTTTTCCCATACCGGTTATTACAGAATATTGAGTAGAGTAACTTATTTACCTTTAATGATAATCTGTGTACGTGAGTTGGGGTGGAAGAGGGCAGTTTCAAAATGCAAGTGATATTTGAGGAAATGACCCACTGATTTTTACTTCACACTCGTGTTTTAAAAGTTAAGATGCCGTTGACGTG